CAGTAGTACTTCTTTACGGCTGCACGGCGTAGGTGGTCCCAGATGCGCGGTAGTGGGTAGGAGTCTGCCACCATCGACGCACTCAGCCGCCTGTAGTCTATAACGCACCTCCATTCTCCCGTTTTCTTCTTGACAAAGTGTGGAGCCGCGGCCCACTCACTCTTCGAAGGTCTCCTAACTCGAGTTTCTTAACCTGCTTATCGAGCTCCTCACGCATTTCCGGCTCGTAGTGCCGTACTCTCGCCTTGAAAGGCCTGCCATGGACTGTGAATCTGGCCGCGTACTTGACTCTCGCAACTTTGGGCTCTTTTCGGGTGTCGTGATATCGTTCCAGTAGGCTCCACAGCTTCCACCGGTTTTGTGGCTCCATGTGCGAGGTTTCTTCCTCGAAGATTTTCCTTTGTCTTTCGTAGCCAGTCTCAACAACTACGGTCGGGGTGGTGCTGACTTCGGGACTTTGTAGGTACTGTGGTTCGCTAACCTCAGTTCATCCAAGTAGCCTCTTTTTGCGCAGAGGGCGTGGCGCTTCGTGGGTGCGGGAGCGTGCAGCTCGGCGTCTGGCATGCCCAACAGGTTGGGGACTCCAGACTGGGACATCACCGCGAAGCTAATCCGTTTAGTATTGCTCCCAATGGTCGTCGTCGCTGGCACAGTGAGGGGCAGGGAGCGGGGCCGGTGCCGATAGCCGTCCGGGACCGGCATGGTGTCTCCTGACAGCGGTATCCCTGCCCGTTTCCTGCCCGCTTCCTGCAACAGGCTCATGTCGGCTCCGGTCCACTAGGAAATCTAGTGGTGCCTGCTCCACCAGGGTTCTCGCGCAGAAGGGGGTTCGCCGGCCGGTTCCTTCCCTACTGGGGCATTAACCCGTGCCTCTAAGGCTTCCAGTCTCTCCAAGAGCCTTTCCATGTCCGTTGCGCCGTCGGCCCTCTTGGTGGCATCCGTTCGGTTATCTGGGGGGTCTCCTTTCCTTCCTGCGATGCGCGTCCTTTCTGCGCTTGTTGTCCCAGCGGCCCTTTTCTGTTTGAATTATCTCCCTGACAGTGGTGAGTCATGGAGTGCACGGGACGTCCATAACTATCCTTGTAGTACCAAGTGGGGCACACTCTGGCCCAGTGACCGCGTTTGCCGCAGTTGAGGCATGTTGAGTCGCGTGCTGGACATACGCCGTTGCGTGGGTGAGGATACCCTCGGCAGGTGGCGCAGACAGGTGAGTCGACTTGCACCTCGCCTAGCTGTTCTTCTTCAACCATCTCCGATGGTTGCTCTACGGACGATTGTTGGACGTTTACTGCCGGGTTTACAGCGGCCAACACACGCGTCTGTGCTTCGAGGTTGATGCACACGCTGTCAACTACGTCTTGGAGCGACTTCCCCTGACCGACACATTCACGTACCACGTCCGCCACTGGGGTGACACGGCGCGCCTAATACGCATGTCAAGCCCTGCGCGGGTTGTTGTCTCCGTGAGACCCCATCTACGTGCTAGTCTCACATAGCGGGCAATTCTAGCTAATAATACGTCGGAGAGCTGCATGAAGTCGCTCGGCAACACCGTCAGCGCCGCGACATACACCTCCATGGCATAGGTCGACATAGGAAAGAGAAGACGCGCTATGTCCGAAATGAACTGTTCCACGGGTATGCCAGCACCCCGGTCTACCCTTGCGAGGTGCTGTCGCTTCGCAGGAGGTATTTGTGTCTAAAGCATTTTTATCATACTCTCTTCGTCGATTTTGTGGGCCGCGCGATGGACTAAGCCCGCCACTTCGTCGACCCAGTTTTCGAAGTGCTCCTCATTGTCGACTCTCATCGGCGGCAAGGGCTGCGAGGTGACCTTGGCGATCCAGTCATCCTTTGCAGACTGTTTTGCGATGACTCTCGTATTCGCAAACCGCGATTCCTCGATGAAGCCCACGTCCGCAGCAACCCATCCAGTAGCGATCGCCATTGGTGTGTCCTGTTGGGTGCTGGGGGACGACCTGCTAATGCTGAGCTCGTCGTCTGAGTCGCGGAATAGGGGTATCACTCCGTTACCGGCCCGAGCTATTGTGTCTCGACACGCCGAC